AACTAGGAAAAGCAGTTCTGAAATTCATTTGGAAAAATAAAGAGACCCAGAACAGCCACAGTAGTTTTTAAAAAGAAAAGTGAAGCAAAAGGCATCTCAATACTGGACCTCAAATTATACTCCAGAGTTATGGTAATAAAACCAACATGGTTCAAATATCTCCCTTTAAAGAAATCTTTTGACATCCCTTTTTAGTCCCAAAATTAATTCCTAACTATTTTCTTCTATAGGCTGGAAATGGATGATGGGCTAACCCCTCACAGAATAAGTATTACAAACTCCAAGTATGTTCTACACAGGTAGTTTGGCATCTGCTCTAAGTGTGGGAGGAGCTTCTGAATTTTTCACTCTGAAAATTCAAGAAAACAGAAAAAGTGAAATTTAATGTCTAAATTTTGTGAATTAAAGATCATGAAAGGTTTGTAAATTACATGTCTTCCATCCCTTATCTGAAATTCTTTGGGTACAGATAAAACCCGAATATTTTCAGATTTTAGAAAGGCAATATGTATCCAATGGGTGTCCTAGCATTGTCACATTCTCCAGTAATTTTAGAGGCAGCATTTTTTAATAAAATCCAGCAAAATGTGGATATTCACCCAAAGTGGAATACATAAGATAACAAATGGCTTCTTGCTAGTTCTGGTCAAGTTTGGACACCAAATAGCTGGTTGCCTGAATGAAATAAGCAGTCGTAGGGAGCAGACTCTGGTTCCTCTCTTCCTTCTAGAAACCATCCTTGAACAAGTGACTCATTGACATTTACCCATAGGCAAGAAAGTCTGGGAAATCCAGTCCTTGGAGTGAGCCTCCCTAGGACTAGGATGCAGAGCACAGGGGGAGGCCAAAAGAATGTCAGACAAGCCAGTCTGGGACCGGCACACTCACCATTTCCCTCAGGCCACCCCTTCAGGAGTTCCTGATTCCATGACCCATCTTCTCCAAATGAATGAGCATTGAATGGATACAAGATAATCTGAGCTCTGACTAGAGGTCGACTGTTATCTCCTAATGTATTTAGAGTTCCCACATCCACATGGGAAAGAGCTTTTGGGAAGTGCACATGGTAATTTTACATCATTAGAAAAACCACAGATCAAGTCTGTGTTGTTCATGGAGCTGTCTTTCTAAAGGCTTGACTCAAAGATTCAGTGTGAACAAGAATGAGAAAAAAAAAAAATATATATATATATATATATGAAGTAATAATTGGTAATTTAAGGATTATAGGAAAAAAGAGTATCAAGACCTATTTAAGAATTTGATTCTTTTAAGTCTTCTTTATATGACAAAGGAAAAAAAATCACTAGTAAATGCACATTCATCCTGCCACTGAAGAAAGAGGTCCTCTTGACTCTTTGGCTTTTGCTATCCTATTCTGGAATGAAGGACATTGCTAAAAAGGCTAGACTAATTTCCATGAGATGGCACATATCATTTTGCTATAAAGATTGATTACTATTTTTGGTCCTGAGGTAGGATGAAAAAGAGAGAGAGAAATTGAAGTGAAAGGAGCCCCCATGGGCTCACCTAGGGGAAATAGTTTGAATGTGTGTGGAGGCAACTCTTTAGAGTAGTGCTTCTGCTATGTGAACTCTATAGATGGAGGAAGAGAGTTTTGAGGAAGTTTTGCTATGTGTTGTGAATGGCAGACCTTACTGCTGCATCTCCATTGACTTTGCTGTTTTAAATGGATTTGCAATACCTCTGGATGTCAGGTGGGTGTTTCTTTTGTGTCTAACACATGCTGAAATAGGTCACAGAGAGTCCTGGTTTTATTAAGGTTATATTTTTATAACACATTTTTAAAGTGCTCTTTAATGCCGGTGTTTAACTTTATTAAAGAATCCTTCTTTGGAGTTGTAAATGATGAGTAAAAAGGCTTGTTAATCTTTTTCTCAGTTAACCAGGGCTCTGCTGGAATCCTGGCAATTTCAAACATGTAATAGAACCAAAGCAAAATACCTAAGAGGATAAAAGGGAGCCTTTGAGCCGTGAATTTTGAAACTCAAACCCACACTATTACAACATGATACAGTCCAATAAAAATGCATTTGGGGCTAAAAGTGGTAGAGTGCTTGCTTAGCATATTCAAGGCCCTGAGTTCAATCCCCAGCACTGAAAAATTTGCATTTTTTTTTTTCTAGCTTGTGATGTTCTATAACTTGAAAACGGACACACTAAGACTTTACAGGTTGTTTCTAGGGCATTTTAGTAAATTTCTTCATTGTGTGTGATGAACTGCGTGAACAATTCTACCATCGACTCCCATTAATTACACAGGCCATCCCTTCAGTCTGTTTGGTCCTGGCCCCAAATCCCATCTCAAAAGGGAGCATTGCACCTGGCCAAACTGTAGCACTCGGGGTGCTGCAAGTCTGTCACGTGTCTTTGTTCTGTGAGAATTCAGCATAGAACATCCCCTCCTTTCTCAGCAGTTTCAAAACCTGGATGTTAGTTCCCCATACCTTTTGCAATTCCCTTTGTTTATAGAAAAGGATTTCTGGTTATTTTCTACACTCTAACTACTGGCTGAAGGGTTGAGAGATTCTGCTGACAAATTTGAACAACTGTCTGTGTTTACATCTGCTTCTCAGGGGCACCCTGGCTGGCCCCGATGTTGGTATGCTGCTCATTTCCTCCTCTTGGGCCCAATCCCTAGTTTAAAATGATATAACCTCCAAAATTTGCTGAGATAATTATCGACACTTCTCCCAGGGGCACTGATGATAAGAGCATGGCGGAGATTTCCTTTTGCTGAAATTTACATCCCCAACATATTTAATTTTTTTTCTATTCTATGAAAATATTTGGAAGTATTTCTATCATTGTGATGATTGTCTAGAATCAGTGCTCTGTCTTGGATTTATTTATCAGCCTCCACCTTGTGGTTTTCATTGTCTATACATGAGACTGGCAGCTCAGCTGTATTTAGGATTCTTTTCTTGTCGTTGCCATACTTTTAAAAAATGTGTTTCTAAATGTGCTTTTAAAGGATGATAGGCTATATTGTCATGTGTATTTGTGGTAATGATTATTCAGCTGAAGAAAACATCTGAGGTGGTTGACAAGTAATTCTGAGCAAAAGTCATCTGTCAGCTACCAATAAGGTTTGTATTTAAAGATAAAATATTATTCATGAGTGGACTGTGTAAAATTTTAATAATTCTTCAGTTTCAATGACCAGTTCCAGAGAACCTGTATAATGGAGTTGGCTTCCCAGTTTGTCCACTTCCAGAGGCAGAATTGCAGGGTGGAAGGCACAGGGACTCAGGATCAGGCAGACTTAACTTCAACTCCCAGCTCCCACTATCTGCTATCTCCCAGGGCTTCATCTCTCCATTTGCAATATGGGAATAATATTCATTGTGCAAGATTGTAGTTAAGATGCATCCATATATAAACAGTACCTGGAAAGTAGTAAGTACCACAAATAGGGGAGCTGCTTTAAGCTTATGATTTATTTTCCTGAGAATGTTCTCTGTCTGCCTCACTCAGGTGCTCTCCCTGGCATGATTAATTATGATTCTCAAATTTCATAAACCACATTTGGCTTTAATGAAATGATACATATTGTCCATCTGGAAAGTAAGTTTAAGAAAATAAATATAACTCTACAGAATGACTAATAGTCCCTTGAGAGGCACAAAGCACTTGGCAGGCAGGGATTTTAGGTAGGTTATAGAAATTTTGTCTGGGAGTAAACAATCAATGCCTACTTTTTATTAAAAATGCCAGGAGAAATATATTAATAGGTTTAAAGTCTATTTCCAAAGGTCCATTTCTGCAACTCCCCCGCAGCAAACCTCATTGTACTCAATTTATCTCCCTAGGAGACCAACCCGGCTCTAGGATATGATGGGTCTAAAGGAATTTTCCATTATCTGACTCAATCCTCAAACATTTTCTAAGCTGTGTTGTATATTTGCTTTATTGTGAAGAAAGGAATCATTTCTCAAGACACAAAGTCATTCTTGCCTCTTTGATTAAAAACAAAATAAAACAAAAAAGATGTAGATTGGTTGGGGGGATCTTTAATTTTGGCAATGAAGCAAACATTTATAGAACTTGACACTCTTAGTAATCCCTGCAGGGCAAATAGCTTCAAATCAGCATTGGTTTGATACCAGTGGAACACAAGAAAAAATCGGAGAGAAAAAAGAGTTTCTATAAAAATCATAACAAAAAAAAATCTAAGATTTTTTGAGTCATAAAGAATACAATCACAAATAGTTTAATGTTCTGACAATTACGTGTTTAAAAAATTAGGAGTTTACAATTAAATACAAAGCATGTATGGAAAGTTACCAGATCCACGAATAAAGCTAATTTAACTAATTATCATAATGCAAGTATACGTGCATATATTTTGTATGTTTAAAATAAATCATTTAGGGCTTGGGTTGTGGCTCAGCGGTAGAGCGCTCACCTAGCACATGCAAGGCCCTGTGTTTGATCCTCAGCACCACATAAAAATAAATAAAAAATAAAGATGATATTGTGCCCAACTAAAAAACAAATATTAAAAAATAAATTAATTAAATAAAATAAATCATTTAAACTACTCTTTTGCTGCTTAATTATGTATGAGTGTACAACAGAGCATTATTCTTATTAATCCTTATTACTTCCAAGATCACTTGTTATTTTCTTAATAGATTCCCTATCTCTTTTAAATAATTAAAATACTTCACCAACATTCTAATGACAAATCATATTTAAGTCACTCGATAGACAGTTTTTATTTAATTGATTAATTGCTTTGAGTTGGGTCACCCATGTTGCCCATGCTGGTCTTGAACTTCTGAGCCTAAACGATCCTCCTGCCTCAGCCTCCCCAGTAGCTGGGAATACAGGTGTGCACCATCACACCCAACTAGACACATAACTTTTAATACAAACTACCTCCCAGTACTTTCAAATGATATGAGTTTTGCTACCATGAAATTTCAGTGAAAAGTAGAAATTTTTGATTAACATAAATTGATTTTCCAACTTACACTGCTTTGTATCTTCATTGAGGCAAAAGGTAGATCACTCTGGTTAGAATAAAGGTAAAGAAACTGCTTCAGGAACATGGGGTTAGACTGGTGCTGGAATCAGAGGGAGCTTCAACTCTGGGTACCTGTGAAAAGCACAGCAGTGTCAGAGATCATCAACTTTGACACTAACTTCACATTTTCTCCAGAAGGTGGTGCTTGTCAGTCACTCCTGAATGGCGGTGAGAAAGAACCAGGTCTTGATTGTCATATATCTCAATTCTTTTAAGAGTCTCCCTCACTGATAGAAGCCAATAAATGCAGAAACTTCACTAGGCTGGCAATAAAGCATAAGGCTTTGATACATCCACAACTCCCATGTAAGATGCACCAGAGGAGTTTGTTTGGGAGGAACAGTTGGATATGTATGCGTCCATCAAAACTACAAAAGAAAAATTCACAAAATCAACATTTTAAGCTGAGCAAGACCTTAAAGGCCATTGGTCCTTAGAATTCTTAATAAACCTCTATAAAGTACAAAAATCATTTTTAAGGAGTCTGGAAACTTCCTGAAGTGCTTTGTGAATTCCGTGTGTCTATTTATCCACTGGGAGAGTTCCCAGTTTTCATTTTATTCCCAAATGTGCCCCCAAATAAATAAGATTAAATTGAAATCAATTTATATCGGAGGAAGACCAGCCACAACATGGTTCAGCATAGTGTCCATGTCCCTTTTGGACTCTGAGTGGCAGAGTTCCTTATTTTCAAAAGAGGAGTTCGAATTTCATGTAATTACATTTCTTCATTTTTAAGAAGAGAAGTGTTCACAAAGGACTCTGCTAAGTTTTTTCTGAATCACATCAAAGTGACTAAGTTTGGTTAAATACTCAAAACTATAAGCATTATGCTGATCACCTAGAAAGTGCTTATTTGAACAAATGTTTCCATTTTGATTGATTACACTGGCATTATCCAGACATAGTCCAAATAGCAGCATACTCCCATGACCATGATCCTGTAAATATTCTGGCATCTCCCCCATTACCAATAAAACAATTCAGCACAAATATGTGGCAGAAAAGAGAGAAAAATGGGAAACATATGTGGAGTTCTCCATATGAAATCTATAGCCCTTAAAGTACTGATTTGCATTTGTCCCCTAAGTGTGCGGTTAGCACACAGGACCCAAGCAGAGCAAGCAGAGTGAGAAGAAGAGACATTCCCAAAGGAGAGAAAATCACAGTCTTTCTTTCTAAACCCAAACAACCTAAAGGCTCACCCAGTGAGAAAGCATTTATATAAGATAAGACAAATACAAAATTCTTGTGTACTTATGACATGATGTGGCGCCTAAAGATTTAAGGTAGGATATTTTTTAAAAAGCAAATATTTTGAGAAAACCTACAAACTCATAATTGTTATAAAGTAACTTTAACCATAAACCAAACAAAGTAATCAACAATAAAAATGCAACACATAAGATCCCAAATAAATATCATAAGATGACAATTATTACTAGCCTGGCTAGGAGCAATTGTGTATGCCTATAATCCCAGAGACTGGGGAGGCTGAGACAGGAGAATCACAAGTTCAAGGCTAGCCTTAGCAACTTAGTAAGACTTAGTAGCAGCTTAGTAGAAACTTAGCAACTTAGTAGCTTAGTGGTAGAGAACCATGGTTTTATTCCCTTTGAGACACACACACACACACACACACACACAGCTCAAGTTTTAGTAGCCTGAATAAGGTTCACAACCTTCCCCTACCTCTGAATGAAGCCTACACTTTCATGATGCTAAGAAAGATTAGGAGTCAGTTTTTCATGAGAAAACAGAGTAAAAAGAAGGGAATTCCTCACAAAGACTATATGGAGCACGAGTCTGGAAGTATGGGCCTACATGATATTACTGGCTTCATGCTATTATATGATGGGGCATGGAGGCTGAAGGTGTCAGGGGTAGGGAGCAGGGAAAAGAGAATTCTGTGGTGTAAAGAGGAAAGTCTCTGGGCATGATGGTACTAGGAAATAGTTGAAGATGTGAAACTGTTGGAAGCTCAGACAATCTTGAGAGAAACCCAACAATGACTGATCAAAGCTTTCTGAAAGACTTACATATGCCAGGAAGAAAATAATTATTCTTGTCTAAAAACAATAATATTTACAACATAGATATAGCACGTATGACCTAATTTTCACAATGGGTCACTTTGTACCCTATATGATGAGTATAATAGTCTTTGCACTTACCACAAAGGAGGTGTTCAACATGCAGTGGAGCCCCATTACAATGGTGGTGATAAAATGTGGGTTAGTATGAGTTTTTGCCCAGTGCCTAGAAGAAGGTGAGGATGGGAAGGCAAGTCTAGATACACAATCCCTTAAAAGTTTCACGAAGGTCAAGTGCAAGTTTCAATGCTTGGTAATACCAGGAAGTGGGTTGGCATAGTGAATCTCTTCCATATTTGGAGTGGTTGCTATCTACATTAGTCAGTTGGGAAACAGTCTAGCTTTATCCCTCCTGTCTGTGAAGGTATAAAGCACAGAAGGGAGTGTCCACACTTGGTGAGTATCCACAGCCATGAAGCAACAGGCTCAATCCTGCTGCATGTAAGAAAAGAATTTGTATGCTCTCTTCCTTATTTTCTTGGGTAATCAAAGTCCTTGATTTAGTGAACTACTTGGTAGGGAAATTTTTGAATAAGAGTCCACTATATGAAATCTTCAGAGCATAATTCCATGGAAATGACCAGGAAGGAATAGCTTTTGTAGGAAGTAAAAATATTGACTTGTTGTTTAGAAAAAGAGATCTCCTGGCTTTTGTATCCAGCCATCCATAAAATATCTCTCCCATGGGACATTCACACTTAATTATTAGAAAAGTGTTTTAATTACTTGTCAGTTTACTATTAGTCCATGAAGTGTTACTGAATACTAGACAGGAGGTGACATTAACTCACTGACCAAAAGCCAATGACAGCATAACTCAGGTTAAATTTTACCCAGGATTGCTTGTGTGTGGTGTTTCTGTCTTCATCAACATTCTGAAACTTCTGCCAAATGACAAAGTATTTTCCTTGCTTGAGGATTAATTTGATAGTCACATACCTGTCCATCAGATGCCATTTCCCTTCTCAAAACTTTTAGGATGATGCCCCAATGTAGGGCTGTTCTGCCTTCAAAACTCCCACTGTGAAGAAGCTGAAGTTAGGGTATTTCACAATGTGATCTGTTAATATTTTGCCCCAGAGTACACCAATTGATAATCTGCAGTGCAGATTAAGAGGAGTTTAGTCTCCTTGCTCTAAGGACATACTCCTCTTTAGTATTTTCAAAAATTCCCTTAAAATATTTTTCGTGTCTAAAGAGATGGTCTTGCTTGCTCCTGCTTAGGCCCAGAATGTGATTTCTACATGTTCTGCTCAGGTTGAAGCACATCAAAACCAATTCTGTTGACCAAACGTGACTTATCATGACTATGATTGGCAAAACTTGAGATCTGCTGGACTTTTGACTTGTCTGAGATCTGTTTCTGCTTCTGTTAGAGAGGCATGTCAATGCATGTGACTCATCTGAAGCAGAATTGCTTGGGTCCGAAATTCTTTTTTTGGTCACGTGAAATAGTATGAGTTTTTGCCCAGTGCCCAGAGATTTCAAGATTTGCAATTTAATCCAGGAGCTTCTCATTCCAAAATAGTCTCTTCTCCCAAAGCCTCCATATTCACAGAAGCACTTTCAGACTAATATGAATAAAACCAGGTCAGGTTTTGATATTCAGGTACTTAGCACAAGCACATGGGTCAGACAACATCCCCTATTTTGTTCTTGCCATTAAGAAAAGTTTGTCTCTGAACTTTTTGTTGCCTTTGCCAATCACTGGGAATTGGTAAAGACCATTCTGATAGGTCACAATAGCCTCGAAAATTGAGAAAAAAATTTAAGAAGCCTGTGGCCTTGTGCAAATTTTTCCATACTTTCTTTAGACATCATATAAGTTCATATATCAATAACTAGTTTTTCTCCTGCCATTCCAAAAATAATCCCCTTTAATATATACTCCACTACCTAAGTGCAATATAGTGACAAAGTACAGACATTGGAATTAGGAAGTCCTAAAATAGAACATGAACTCCATTTGTATGTGTGTCCTTGAGGGAAGTGCTGAGCCTATTTAACTTGAGTTTCTTTACCTATACACTTAAAATAATAAAAGGGATACTAATCTTATGGAGTTGTTAATAAGATTCAAATTAGTAAATGATATAAAGAGTTTAAAGCACTATTGGGCACTAGTATACACCAAATCGTACTTCTTATGCATATTGGTTGTAGCCTATAATGAACACCTGCTATCCATTGAAGGTGTGGTCCACTCAGTCTCAAATGAACTTTGTGAAAGCACTATGTTGGAAGCAGATTCCACTGTCCTGTCCTTCTTGAGCAATAGAATCTTAACCACAATTGGCAGGTGGGGTTCTGATACCTATCTGTAATAATGGCTGGCCTGCTCCTTAAATGAGGACTTTATGGAGATAACAAAATTATTAGCTGAAAATGACTGGACCCACCCAATGGAAAAAATAATAATACAAAGCTCACTACACGGTTAACTCAAATAGAGTAAGACAATAAGCATGGGGAGGTGGTGTTAATGTACGGTCTCTGCTCACTAAGGAAGCTACAGAATTGATTCTCTTTTCCTTTATCAATTATAGATATTATTTTTTTTTCTTTTTTGCTCAATGTGTTCTAATATTCCACTATTTCATGTTATGAAACAAATGTTCATTGTCAAGGAGATTCATGAATCTGTAATGATCCCAAAATTATAAAGTTAAACTTTAAATATTTAAAAGTATAGAATTTTATAAAGGAAAAAAAAATAAAAGTTCTATAGATCTATTTCCCTACTCTTTATCATCTCTGTCCTCAGAAGTAGATACTGTAAATAGTTTTGTGTATGAACATTTACACATTTCCTTTCTATATATATAAACATGTGAATGTATATGTCTGAATATTGTACTTTAAAAAAAACTCATACTACACATGCTGTTCTATGACTTGCTTTTTCTCTTAACAATAAGTTTTGGGCAATGATTTACATGAGGACATTTAGATCTTGCTAATTCTTAACCACCTTACAATTAATACTGAATTTATAAATCAAGACAATGCATAAAAGTTTCTGTTTCTTATGACCTTTATCAACAGTACTGTTTGTGATCTTTAAATATTTGCTTAAAATCAAAACCACCCTAAGATACCATCTCACTCCAGTAAGATTGGCAGCCATTATGAAGTCAAACAACAACAAGTGCTGGCGAGGATGTGGGGAAAAGGGTACTCTTGTACATTGCTGGTGGGATTGCAAATTGGTGCGGCCAATTTGGAAAGCAGTATGGAGATTCCTGGGAAAGCTGGGAATGGAACCACCGTTTGATCCAGCTATTGCCCTTCTCGGACTATTCCCTGAAGACCTTAAAAGAGCGTACTACAGGGATACTGCCACATTGATATTCATAGCAGCACAATTCACAATAGCTAGACTGTGGAACCAACCCATATGCCCTTAAATAGATAAATGGATAAAAAAAAAATGTGGCATTTATACACAATGGAGTATTACTCTGCACTAAAAAATGACAAAATCATGGAATTTGCAGGAAAGTGGATGGCATTAGAGCAGATTATGCTAAGTGAAGCTAGCCAATCCCTAAAAATCAAATGCCAAATGTCTTCTTTGATATAATGAGAGCAACTAAGAACAGAGCAGGGAGGAAGAGCAGGAGGAAAAGATTAACATTAAACAGAGACATGAGGTGGGAGGGAAAGGGAAAGAAAAGGGAAATTGCATGGAAATGGAAGGAGACCCTCATTGTTATACAAAATTACATATAAGAGGTTGTGAGGGGAATGGGAAAAAAACAAGGAGAGAAATGAATTACAGTAGATGGGGTAGAGAGAAAAGATGGGAGGGGAGGGGAGGGGGGATAGTAGAGCATAGGAAAGGTAGCAGAATACAACAGTTACTAATATGGCATTATGTAAAAATGTGGATGTGTAACCGATGTGATTCTGCAATCTGTATTTGGGGTAAAAATGGGAGTTCATAATCCACTTGAATCTAATGTATGAAATATGATATGTCAAGAGCTTTGTAATGTTTTGAACAACCAATAAAAAAAGTAAAAAAAAATAAAATAAAAAAATAAATATTTGCTTAGAAGATTAAGTAATACGTCTTTTTTTTAAACAAGCAAGTCTTGTTTTTTAATAATTCACATTTTGTTTTTCCATGTGGCCTGAATTCACATATTTTTCCAACCAAATTCCTACAGAATAATATGCCTGAATCTTGTTTTACAAGAGTTTTTTTTCTATTAAATTTATACTTTAAGAGTCACTTATGTGGCAATATTTTTCTAGGCTGTTGATGTTATTGTTTTGCTTTGTTGATAATAATTTTTATTAAACATAAGTGTTTAAAAATTGGGGGGCTGGGATTGTGGCTCAGTGGTAGAACGCTCACGTAGCACACATGAGGCACTGGGTTCAATCCTCAGTACCACATAAAAATAATATAAAGCTATAGTGTCCACCTATAACATATATATATATATATATATATAAAATTTTGGTAAACTTATCTAGGTTTTCACTTATTACTTACAGGTTTTTGGTCATGTAGAGAAGCATTCATTTTATTCCAAGATTATAATAACAAAGTTCTTTTTTTTTTTCATGTATTTTACATTAAGACACTAAACTTTTAATCTATCTGGAATTTGTTAGAAGATAGGAAAAAGTACTGGATTTTGTTCAAACATTTATGTATTTGAACCAAAAAGATTTATTAAATAGTATATTTCTTTCTGTTTTTCAAACCCATTTTAGCATGTACAAAAATCCATTCATCCATAAATATGTTTCTTGGAGCTTCATTATCTCCAAGAAATATTTCTTCATGGACCTATCTGGATATTCTCATACCACTGGTATAAACATTGTCTCTTAATGAAATCTTGTAATACTTTTAATATTTTTATGTTATTCTCCTTGTTAGATTTTTAAAGTATTTCCCATGCTTCCTTATTCTTTAAAACAAATTTTAAAATAGTTTTAAAAATAATTGGATTATTATTAATAGGGATTGCAAATAATTTCAGCATTTATTTATTTTTTTTTTTTTTAATTTATTTATTTATTTTTTAGTTTTCAGCGGACACAACATCTTTGTTTATATGTGGTGCCGGGGATCGAACCCGGGCCGCACACATGCCAGGCAAGCACGCTACCGCTTGAGCCACATCCCCAGCCCCAATTTCAGCATTTATTTAGGGTAAATCTGCATCTTTATAATGTTCAGTGATTTGTTTTGCAGAATAAGTGTATACTTTTCCATTTATTTAAGTCTTATGGACTCAACAAAATGTTATAAAAGTTTTCTTGCACACATATACTTCACATTTCTAATCAAATTCTTAGTATTTTAGTATTTTGTTGTTATTTCAAATGGGATCTTATATTTGATTTCTTACCATTTATTTTTAATGTGAAGAATAGTTGTTTACTATGCTTATTATGTTTATTATGTGCTGAGTGAGTGTTTTTTCATCTTTAATGTTTTTTCATACTTCTTTCAGGTATAAAATAATATTATTCACTGGAATAATATTATTCCATCTGATTGTAGTAGCCCACTCTTTGAATATTTCTCTGTGCCTTCCTACAACTACATAGGTACATGAGATATCTTTTGTTTCAGATCTTGTTTAGCCAAACACTTACTACCATGATTATTACCTTTACTATTTGATATATTTTCTCATTTTTTTTATCTGTAATCATTGCCACTTTTAAAAAAACTGAATAAAGGCTGAGTAACTCAACAATCAGGGCTTATTTTATTTGCCACACTGAGAAATTTTTAGAAAACAGTCAGTACGAGTTTAACTTATTTTAACATCATTTAGTATTTATCGTATTAGTTGCTATCATTTGCAAGCACATGCTACACAAAATCCCCACGTTGGGGAGTGTATCAAAACTCATATTGAATAATCATCTCAAAATTTCATGGTATTCTAGGTAACAACAAAAGCTAGGAGAGTCTAGAAATAATTGAAGTACATAATTAATATTACCAGTTAAATGTTACTATACACAATCTCCAATTAGACAAATAAATAATTATTAGAGTCTCCAAGATG